TCACAACTGCTGGGAAAGACCCGAGGACATGGATACGCCTCGTAATGTTTATAAAATCGATGGGTCCCACCCAGGGTCTGACGTGGCTGGCGAAACCGCCGCTGCTTTGGCCGCTGCTTCCATAGTGTTCAGATCACGTGACCCTTCTTATTCCAGATTGCTTCTCAATCGAGCCATTTCGGTACGTCGCTTTCACACCCAATCCCGACCGCTTTTTACCTTTACCGATAGATTAAAAAAAGAAAAAGAAAATTACCGTGAGCAGTAAATAGCGTATTGACTGTTTGTTGCTTTAGGTGTTTGAATTTGCAGACAGGCACAGAGGAGAGTACAGCGACAGTTTGAGGAATGCCGTGTGTCCGTTTTACTGCGATGTCAACGGTTATCAGGTAATGTATCCATTTACTCGTTAAAATTTCCTATTTATAATTATCAAATAAATTATAAAAGAAATAAAAATAGATACAACACTATATTTGTGTATTATAAAAGATCAAATATGATAATTAGCATTAAAATATTCTTAATACGTTGGATCAGGATGAGTTGCTGTGGGGAGCGGTGTGGTTGCACAAGGCGTCGAGAAGGCGGGAATACAGAGAATACATTTTCAGGAACGAGGTGGTGCTCAGAGCTGGGGATAGCATCAACGAGTTTGGTTGGGATAACAAGCACGCCGGAATTAACGTCCTCATTTCCAAGGTTTCTTTTACTCTTTTACCCTTACCCATACCCTTATCATCATCATTCCCGCGTAATTTCCGCCCTTTTATCATTACCCTTTTGCTTTTCTGGTTTTTTTTTCCCGCTAATTTTCTTGAGCTTCACGTAATTCCATATTCTTTTCTTTTTGTGTGTCGTGTTTCTCATTCGCTCTGTTGTTTCCTCCTTTTTGGTTTGGTTCTTTATGCTGGCGTGGCTGATCCAATCATCACCACGTGGAATTGTAAATTGCAGGAAGTGCTGATGGGGAGAGCAGAATACTTCACATCTTTCAGGCAAAATGCTGACCAATTTATTTGCTCAATTTTACCTGGAATTTCCCATCCTCAAGTTCAATATTCTCCTGGTATTTTCCTCTCTTTTTTTTCTTTTTTTTTTTTTTGGTTAATTAATTAATTAACTATTAATTATGGATTTGTATTTGGTTGTAAAGGTGGGTTGATGTTCAAGAATGGAGGAAGTAACATGCAGCATGTTACCTCCCTGTCTTTCCTACTACTCACTTATTCCAAATACCTTAGTCACGCCAATAAGAATGTGCCATGTGGATCCTTCTCAGCATCCCCTTCCATGCTCCGACACCTCGCCAAGCGTCAGGTCCCTATCCGAAACTGAAAACACTATTTTTATACGTTAGATGCATACAAAATGAACGGCTCTGATATTTGTTGGGTCCCACCAGGTGGATTATATTCTGGGCGATAATCCGCTGGAGATGTCCTACATGGTTGGATACGGTGCGCGCTACCCCCGCAGGATTCATCACCGGGCTAGTTCGTTGCCGTCGGTTCAGGCCCACCCGGCTCGGATCGGGTGCAAGGCGGGTTCTCGTTACTTTCTGAGTCCGAACCCCAACCCGAATGTGTTAGTCGGAGCTGTAGTGGGTGGGCCCAACGTGTCGGATGCGTTTCCGGATTCGAGGTCATTCTTTGAAGAGTCCGAGCCCACTACGTACATCAATGCTCCTTTGGTGGGCCTGCTCGCGTACTTTTCGGCCCATCATTGAACTTGGGTAAAAAGGAAAAGTGAAATGAAAAGAAAAGAAAAGTTAGTTGTAGTAGAGATTGTGGTGGTGCGCTAAGGTCACCCTGCCGTTACTTTTAACGATTCCAAATGCTTCTCCATTAAGCAATTAAAAATGAACGATCTCATTATTGTAATATTTCTTTTCTTATATTTATAATCTTATTTTTAATTTTGTTTTATGCTCGATCAACGATGGGTACCTATAACGACTCTAGATTTTTACTTAACCTAAAGTCGCTACTATATACATATTATAGATATTTTATGCGGAAATACTTCATTCAAACTTTATCATAAAACCATAGTCATGGACTTCATGTTTTCTAGAAGGTTTTTAAATAAAATATCCAAAATTGAAATAATATAAAGCAAAAATGTCCTATACTGACCTATATGCTATGAAATGAAATAGATACAACCTATAATCTACGAAATTTAAATTGCAAACTACCCTATGCATGTGACATGGTCTCCTCAATTGTGATGTCACCGTCTACCGTACAGGGGAGCCTTGTCTTTACCTGGAAAATAAAAGTAGCACATGCCTTGAATATTTTAAGAAATACTTAGTAAGTGGCCCCGCTATTAGGGTTAGATACAAGCACATACAATCATGAATGAGACCTATCATATCATTCTATATTTTCTTATGCGACTATTTTAAGTGGGTAGTTGGATGTGTATTTACTATTCTACACATGGTCCACACGTGCGATTATGGACTCACCAGTCGATTCGCACACCTTCTGGGCCCCTTTCTTGTCGGGCGAGAATTCGAATTCTACAGCAATTTCTTTCACCTTTCGGATGTAAATAGGTGTTTGGTTCTTTCTCCTTTCTTCACCTATGTGATCTGGGAAAGAAACTTGAGCTATTGATATTAGACAACCATTAGGAATAGTGACCGTCGCAGCATTATAATAAATATAATATTGTTTCCTTGCCTCGTAGCGTACGCGTCCATACCGTCGTAAAAAGAAGAAGAGGATCCCCCGGCGCATGAGGTCCCAACATTTTTCCTTTCATCATCATGTACAAGAACTCCGCTTCTGCTTTCCTTTATATCGTATCATTTTGTCATAACTTTTCATGCATCTATTGGGGTTGTGCATGTTGAAGATGGTTGGGAGGGAGTCCACCTTGGTCAATTTAGAAAATGATCATGAGTTCATAAGTAAGGAAAAGTCGAGAGCTTATGCTCAAAGTGGACCATATCATTCCATTGTGGAGAGTCGTTATTTCTAACATTATATCAGAGTCATGTCCGACTAAATGTCAAACAAAAGGTGTATTTTATTCAAAGGGGAGTAGTCCCACAATGCCATGAGAGTGCATGTCAACAAATAATTCATTAATAAAAATGGGTGAAGGAATGGGGTGGGGAGCAAGGCAAGATCGAGAATTAGGACAAAGAATATATTTCATCCTCGTCTCCATTTAACTTACACGAACATTTTTTTTTCGCTCCTCTCATTGCTGCCTAAATGAAGATTTTCCATCATTTTAGAGTGTCCTAGTTTGTGAACACTAAAATCCAAACAAACAAGAATGGTGAAGGAGATGAGAAACACTAAAAGCCAGTTTGTGAAAAACAAGGTCCCAAATTATTGGCATAATTGTCGGTTTGGTTCACGTAATCATATCAATATCTTATTTTTCTCCTAATCATATTAAACATAAGAAATAGTTTAAGTTATTATTTAGACCAAAAATTAAGTAACAAAATATATATATTTTTTTGGTAGTTTATTGTCGTGGAAGTATATGAATAATTGGGTATATAAATAATAGACATACTATTTAAAAAACCTAAATCAATAATATATATAATTAAAATGTATGGTTGTTGCATTAATGATCTATATACTACAATGTACTTGTGTCAATTGTTAGATGAACTCTCCACAATGGTATGATATTGTTCGCTTTGAGCATAATCTCGCATAACTTTGCTTTAGACTTTCCCAAAAGACCTCTTACGAATAAAGATAGTATTATTTGATTATAAACCTATGATCATTTTCTAAATTAGCCGATGTGGGACTTTCATCCAACACCTCTCCTCGAACAAAGTTCGCCTCCCCTTAATTGAGGCACGACTAAGTTTAAGGCATGACTCTATACCTTGAATGGCTCGGTAACCTATATGGGTCACGACCTCATATATTTATAAATGTGTATAATGAGAATTACATTACAACAAACCAGAAAAATCATAGATTTGATAAGAGTAAATTATAGATTGAAGTAAATCATATATGATCAATTTTAACTATAATATTGATGTATCAATAGTATTTATTTATTTGCTTAAAATTTGTTGTAAATAAAATACAATTGGGATGATATCAATTACATAAATTATCAGTCTTTTTTATGTTTTTTTTTCCTTGTAGCTTCAACAATATTTTATTTAATTTATTATTATTATTATTATTTTGGTCAAATTTGCAAGTATCCCAATTATTTTATACAAAAAAAAATCTACCCAAACTATGTAATTATATTGGGCATTTTAACAAAATTTGAAAAATGTATTTCTTAATAAACTTAAAATATTTGCACCAAAATTAAAACTTTACCAATATCCACAGAAAAAAAAGGCTAAAATGTTCATACAAACTGTTAATATAGTGAGATTTTGAATTTTTGTCTTAAAGTTTCTAAAATTTATATTGTGTACCCCCAATAATGTAATTTGGTTAGACATTTTAATTAATGAATAAATAATGACTTGTAAAATTATTCTATAATTGGGTTAATTTTTTTTAATGTGAAAGGATTAGGAATTCCAATCTCTTAAATAAAAGAAAAACTAAAATTTTTTTATATAAATTTATCAAAAATATTCTGTTTAAAAATTAAATAAATCGATGAAAAAAACTAAAAAGAAAAAAAAAAGTTAAAAAAATATATTTTGGTCTTCAACTATATTTAAATTTGTAGTAATTTAATTCCTAAACTTTAATTAATAACATTATTTTAGTAAATATTATTAAAATTTAGTAAATATTTTTATGAATATAGATGGGTAAATTGATTAAGGGTGAAATTTGTATATAAATTATAGGTAAAAATATGATTAAGAACTTTAGGGTTCTTTAAATAAATAAATAAAGGCGGGTTTTGGGTATGGTGGGTATGTAAGCATAAATTAGCAATAAAAATGTGGGAATTTTATTGGATTTCGTCTTTGACCAATGCGTTGGTTCAAAGACAGAATCCCACAAACACCAACCCAATTTTATTTTTATATACAAAAAAGAATTGATTTTTGTCTCGCAATTCCAACCCTCCCCTGCCTTCGGCTTCCTCCTGGCGCCACTGTTTCTCCTTTTCTTCCCCTTCCCCTTGTCCTCTTCCTTCTTCCGCCAGACATTTTGTCTTTCACCAATGCCGTCCTTGATCGCTTTTTAATTCGAAGAACAAGAACAAGAACAAGAAGGTGGGGTTCGGTCTTTTTCCCCATTTTGATGAGATTGTAGTGTTGGTGGGTCATGGAGGGAGCGGAAATGGAGCTTGAGCGACGCACCAAGTTTCTAAATGGGCTTATTTTGAAGAAGAAGGCGGGGGAGCATCAAGAGCACCGCGATCGTCTCAATGTTCGCGTTAGAGCCTCCGATATGCCGTTTCCTCTCCAGAATCGCGCTTTTAGTTGCGCTCGTGAACTTCTTGATTCCATGCCTGGGAAGCTCGATAGCAAACGCCTCGCTCTTGCCCTCAAAAAGGTAAGGCAAAAAAGATTTAAAAAAAAAAAAAGAAATTATACCCTTGAACTCACTTTTGGTTCTGAAATGCGTTTTCCTGACTGCCATTTTGGGTTAGGCGGAGTTTTATAGGATGGTTATTGGACTGTTTTGAGTACTGCCTGGAATGTGTTTGATGAAATGTCTATTTGGTATGAACTAAATTTATTTTCGCCATTTGAAGCCTGGGATTTCTGGGATCTCTACACATTTAGGTTGAAAATTAATGGTTTCTGAATTTTGTTGCACTTGTCCCTCTTTTGGGATTTTACAACATAGTTAATTAACTACCTCTGTAAACTGTGCATGTTTTTCCTGATTTGAGCACTTCCAAAGTTTGGGATTGACCTTTCAATTCCAATTTTGTGTAGCGAATTAAATGTTCTTTATTGCTCTAGAGTCCTCCCTAGATTTGTAATACCGTAGAGAGGGGATGCCATGAAAAAAGTTGTGGACAATGGACATGGCAATTCCTTCCGGTGGGAATTTGCTGCCCACCATTAATTCCATCATAGTTGATAGCTATCCACTACTGACACTGGCCAGCTGCCCTCTGACCGTTCAAAACATGTCGGAACAAGGAGATTGGAGTCATTGTCAAATACTAGATGCTATATTTAAACACTAGATTTTAGAGGAGCCCATCTTATTCTTCTCTTATGCCGTTGAATTTTCCCCTGAATTTGCCATTTTCTACTTCACATGTAGTTATGTCCCTGTGCCATGTGTTTTTTGTTTAATTTTTATGATATGCAAAGATTATGTTTGAAATCTTTGTTGCGAAATATTCAAAGCTCTCTTACCATTCTTGAGGAAAACAAACCTCACAAAAAACATAATCATTATAGTGGCTTGTCCAGCGCCTATATTCATTACAACAAAATAATTATTTACAAGTCTGAAACCATCCTGGTTTAAGTTGAGGCTTTTTTTTTTTTTTTTTTTTTTTTT